GGTTTAGTTATCAACACTCATATATGCTCTCGCACGATTGATTTATCGATAAGTGAGCTAATTGTTAATATAAGTCAGGCTTGCATTTTAATTAATCGAATTGGAACAATGTAAAGAAACGTTTTATTGAAAGAATCAATTTACTTGTTGGTGATCGCAAAACTTCAATCAAAAATGTGTCTTTAAGCTTAAAATAAAATCGCAGATTGCAAAATGAGTTCAACAGGACAAAATAATAGAATAATTATGTTACTTGATTACTTTTTATGCGATCTTCGAGCATATATGTGTGCTGATATATATCTGGCTTAGTTGGTAGTTAAAGTAGTTTGCACTTGATATTACGAATATGGATACAATACCACAAATGCCGCAATACGAGATATTGATTGATTACGATACGTTACGGGTATTAGCACTGCTTGCTTGCTTGCTGAGATCTGCCGATCGAAACATTTCCGTGTACGTTACGCTCAAGTCACTACGGGGATATCCGGCAAACAATACAAAAAATGATACAGTTGGTACAGTACAAGTAGCATTATGGATATAGATACGAGTATGCATATTATAAAACACAAGAGACTGCAATTGATTGAGTTGTTGCGTACAGTTTTCGGCTTAAGACACGTGCAAGTTGTATTTTTTTCTGGGGGATTTGGGTCTCTTTTTTGGTATCGGTATTGTTGGAAGTTTTTTTGGGGGGCTTTAACTACTTGATTGGGGGCAGGGCAGCAGAAAGAACGGGGTTGGTGAGAGAACTTAGGGCATTACTGGAACAAAAGATCATCACAAATCAAAAGTTTATTTTGGGGTGTGCGCGGTGAGGGGTTTCAACAAATTTTCACTTTTCAATTATGGGGTTGCTTCCTGCCTTTTTTTTATCGAATTTCAAGAATGGTTAAAGGTTGTTTATCTAGACTTCAGGTACGGTACGGGGACTATCTGGACTTAGAGAGAAAGAGTTAAATAGAGAAAGTGAGAGTAAGAGACGGAGAGAGCGGCAAAGAGAGAAAGAGATACATAGGGGTTATGTTTTTGGTTCTTGGCGATAATTGTTCCACATGAGGAGGAGGTTTCAAGTTTGCTCAATTTCAAGTTTGCTTTTATGTGTTTCGTTTCGTTTCATTTTCTTTTCTTTTATTTTTTCGGGCTTTAGTCGCGTTCGATTTTTGGAAAAATATATATATTTACACAGAGCACCATATACGCGGCAATAGAGCTATTTAAAGGGCTATCTTTGGTTCTCAGACTTTCAGCCATCGGGATGGATTCCTCACATTCTCCTGCCCTGAGATAGCATTTGGGTACAGTTATCGAATTGCATTTGGTTGCTTCGATTGTATTTGGTTGACCTACTTAATTAGTTATATACGCATAAATAGTCATCGTTATTGATAGATGTGGAAAATCATAATTGAAATCAACTGAAAAAGTTAACCTTGGCTGATCGTTTTTAATCGTTTTCTTGCCAGCTTATCGTAGTCGTAATGTTTATCGGGATTGATTATCGGTTATCGCCAGGCACTCGCAACACTTTACTATACTTTTACAAAGTCTGCGTGTGTACATATGTGTGTCTGTAACTGTGTGGGTGTGTCAGAGTTACTAAAGAGAGACAGAGATATCGAGATAGGTACAAAGAGAGAGAGAGAAAGATATACAAGTAGGGTTAGGGCGGATAAATCGATACAAACTTCATTTTGTATTAAATTTGATTTGGCTTTCAGCGTGAGCTTTTCATGTTTCCTTAGGTTATATATTGTTATAATTTTAATTTTTACGGAGACGTCGACAGCATATTTTGTGGTGGCAGGCGAGCAATTTGTTATCGTCGGGTTAAGGTTCTGGTTATCGTTTTTTTTCGGCGCGGTGCGGCTGCGTTTTTGATAAAATATCGATTATCGTTGATTTCTTTAATTTGCATCCCCTAATATGTTCTGTTTCTGTTCTGGGTATATCTGTTCCTTAGTCTGGAATCCTGAAATCGCGTTCTACAAGACATGAAAGTTACCAAAATATAAAGGATATAGAGAGATAGAAGGAGATGGATAGAATTCACAAAGCCAAAGCAAAGTTAAGGAAACGTGAACCGAAAAATCGTTTCAGCTAACGTAGAGCTTTCGGGGTTAAAATCATAAGCCATTAACGATAACAATGAAAACGATAAATCAAAAAGCACAATTTAAGCTAATCATCTACTTTATAACGATTTATTTATATATATGCAATACTTATAAGCAAAAACAAGGCGTAGATCAAGTGTGGTATAAAAGAAAGAGAGAGACTAAAAGAGACGGGGCGGGCAGGACTGGCGAGATAGACTGAGATAGAAAGACAGGGAGAGAGCGATAGGTCCCTATTGAAGGAAATCGATAGAGAAACCGAGCGGAAGTTCGATAGTTTCGGGAGAGTGGGTGGTGAGTTTTTAAAATGAGAACTAGTATTTCTTGACTTGTAATTACCATTTTCTATCACTTTGCTCTTCGTGGGGGGTGGGGATGGATGGGCGTGGGCGGCACCGCACACACACGCGCACACACACACACACCGCCAGCAGTGGTTCAGAGCCAGTCTATCGGCTATCGACAATTGTTATCGCCGCCGCAACTGCCGCTTGCGTTGAGATCGCTTTAGATATCGCTCTTAGTTCGATTTATCGCTGATTCGTTGATCGTTTTATTGCTTATCGGTTATCATTAATCGATGAATTGATTTGATTTGGTTTGGTTGTTCAGTCGCACAAGCTAAGGCCACCTTTTCACGAGTTGCCCTGTTTTCATTTGATTTTACGATTAAATATTTTTTGATTTTGTGGTGCTAAGTTATCGCGCGTCACGTTTCGTTTTCGTTTTCTTTTTTTTGATTTGGTTTTGCAGTTTTGTAAATATGTTTTGTTATATACTTGGATATATACGTGGCTATATGTACATACGAGTTATCACAATGGTTAGCATTATTCGATCGTAGTTCATAGTTCTTGCTCGTAATTCACCGCATCTGGGACCGATGCCCATTATTACTGCCGCACTCTCAACTGTCTCTGAGATTGTTCGTCGATATTTTCGTACCAGGTAACCTTCTCTTCTGGGCAGGATCTGATTTGGAACTGGAACTGGTATTGGTATAAGTACTGCTAGTGTTATCGCAGCTGTCTATGGAGTTTGGCCAAAGGACCTCGGCTTCCCCAGCGATTGCTGATGCTGCTGCTGCCTCGGCCTCCTTGTCGTTATCGGTTATCGATCTGATGTGGATTCCGCTTCCGGTTATAGCTGCCGGCTCTGGGATGTCGCTGGGCAGGGTTGTCAGGTTTGCCTCATAGCCGCCGCTGCCGTTTCCGTATCCGTTTCCGCTGTAGTCAACCTTCACGTGGAGGCACATTCGATTTTAAGTTCGTTTCGTTTCGGTTTATGGGGATTCGTTCGGTATATAATATATAAATATATAAAGCATTTGGTATGGGTTTTAATTATGTACATAGATCGTCTCAAAACCCTATAAGACTCCTTCGCAGCTAGGCGATTTTGGGGTTAAGAGTTTTTTAAATGTGTTTGTGTTCGTTGTCTGTAGTTCTTTGGGTTAAACACGCACACAATTTGGGAGTTCTATAGATAGAGCTTAACTAAAAAATGGCTTAATAATTTTGCTTTGTTAAAAACACAATTAATCAAACAAACACACAAACAGCGAGAGGGAGACAGACAAAGATATAGTAACGATTACGGTAATATATTCATAGACTCTCCAAACATATTAGCTAATCAATCAATTACACAGCCGATTACAAACAAAAATCAAATTCAACACAGAAAGAGGCGCAAACAGAGTGACAGAGAGAGATAGAGATACAGAAAGAAAAAAGAGAGAGACAGGGACAGAGACATGTGTCTTTTGTGTGTGTGTTGGAAAGAGAGAGATAGTCCGAGAGAGATTTAGATAGAGCGATGGGAATGTTGGATGGACAATGGTTATTAATGGACAATGGGGCTCAGAAATGGGTCTCAATGAAGAATTTGCCACGTTCGAAAGAGACGGCAATAGAGGGGACGAGAAAGAGACGTCACTATCTTTTGTCCCGCCGCAGTTTTTTCATGTTGAAAATCCTACTTGATAAATGTTTTGCATATTAATTTCATTTTTTTTGCGTTCTTTTTCCCCGGGTTCTGATGACCTTTTCTTGTAAATGTTCATTTGGTTTTTTTTGTTTTTATTGTTTCTTTTTGTCTTTTGTTGTGATCTTTTGAAGAAATGTGCTCACGGTAAGTACATTATTACGAGTATTGTTATCCTGGCTCTTGTTACTTTTATTTGCATTTCGCTTTATTGTTATCATCTAGGGGCCGGGTTATATGGAATGGCAATGGTTAAAAAGTCATGGCCTCTAAACTCAAAACACAAACGAAATGAGTGGTGGGGGGTTGGGAAAGTAAAAGTAAAGTGGTGGGACGAGTATTATTTTTGACTGGAATGGAATGGTCTGGGCTTGGTATATCTTTTTGCATTGTTACTCGACGATGGTTATATGGGGTTGGTCCCCCAAGTTATGTCGGTCCACAGGTATCTGTCGAGTTCCGAAGTTTACACATGGAGGGAATCGGTATTTTTACTTCATTTTCAAGGGGGGTCGGTTATAGTGTAAGATACATTTGATACTCTCGGCTTATTTGACTTTCGTATTTGGTTTTTTTGGTTGGCTCATTAGTTACGCTTATAAGAGTGGTAGTAGTAGAGTAGTAGTACAAATAAATAGGTAGTAGAAGGTAGTAACATATTTGATTCGCTTTTGCTTTGCGTTTTTGTTTTGCGGTTTTGGTTTTTTTTTGTGACTCAAATCGGTTTGGTTTTAGAGATATAATTGATTTGATTTTGAGTTCGAGTTGATTTGTAGTAGTAGAGTAGAGTATGGTATGGTATAATCAATCAATCAACCAAAGGCGGTATAAAAGTAGAGCAAGTTCACATGGATTAGTACGGTTGTTATAAAGGAAGTGGACACTCACCGATGATCTACTCACTTGCATAAACGCATAGACGCCGCGTAAAAACTCCATATTTTGCTGCTCTTGAGAACCCTTTTTGGTTGTGCGTTGGGCCCGACTTATATACTGCTTAACGGTGTCCGCAACAAGATGTGGCTTTAGTTTGCGTGATAGAACCCTGCAAGGAAATGGATGGGTCAGAAATGTTGGGAACAAATAGGTTGCATTTTATGATGGCATATAAATTTCCATCATTCTATATATATAGAAGAGTACCTAATTTTTCTGGCGGATCAGTCTCCAGCGAAAACATATTAACATTAAAATCTTAAATCAAAGATCGAATTTCTGGAATAACTTTTTGGGTGTGCTAAGATAGGATTTTACACTGCTCGTCCGCAAAAATATATAAAATCCAAAAAATGTATAAAGATGACACACATATTATGTCGCTTTTGTAAGACGACGACACGGCAGTGGTATGTGGGTTATTCTTGGTCGAGGTCACCGCTTTTCCAGTCCACATCCCCCCACTTTCCCAAGTTTTTCCACCTCACCACTTGGCCCTCGGCTCGCAACCAAATTGAAGCGCTAAGCAAATTGTCACTTGAGAGGTGCTCGCTTTTCTCATCTGCTAAACGGAAACACTTTCCCCAGTCTTTGTGCTAATTGGCCGCACTTAGTGGCCCACCCACTTTTCCGACTCTCCACTACATAGTATATGCATATAGTTTGCGGTGTGTGAGTGTGTGTGGGCCATGAAATATGCGCAAAGGATGGTTGGAATTTTTGTGCCGGCTAATTGAAAACCTCCTCGACTGACGACTTTACGCATTGTGTGTGAATTGACAACGCAGATTACGCTTATCGTTTAATTGCCCCCAGCAACAGGGAGGCCACCCGTTTCCATTTCCATCTCTGTCTGAGTTTTCATCTTCCATTTCCATCCGACTTGCCATCTACATCTATGTATCTGCACCCTGTTCTGGCACACACTCACGCATAATTCCGGTTTTTATTAGCCAAGCTTTTAAGCTGTGACTAACCAGAGAAACGGAGATTGGGATTTACACAGGGAGGAAGATTTGTACACTTATTATATTAAGTTAGGGTGTAGGTCTATGTAGAAATGATGCAATTAAAGTTGTAATTTTTGAATACAATTGTATTCCCTTTTGTATACGTGAAAGTTGAACTTAAACTGGGCTTAGATTTTTCTTAGTGTACATCTGGCATTTGGTTGGCTGATAAAACTGAGGCTTCATTTACTACTCTATTGACTTAAGCAGCCGACAGCAAAAGCGAGCGCAGATTTTCTGTGATTTTCCCCACTTTTCTGTGGATTATCAGAGCATTTAATTGGATTCCCATGTGAGCACAAGGACAGAAGGGCCCCGAAAAGAAGAAAATATATATATGGCAAACACCAAGGGGCAGAATCTGTGGAATTTAATTCTTGAAAAATGCAAAAATGAATTCTGCCTAATGCCGCATATTCCCCGGACAAAAAGCGGCGAAAAAGAAACTAATAAGGTTAGCTCTGGGCGGACTGGAAACGCGCATTTCCGTTTTCGGTGTGCTTCTAATTTATTATTAATGAAAAAAAGGAGAGAAGAAGGGAGGGCGGGACTGATTACTTTCCCGGGGAACATACACGAATTTAGCGCTGCTTTTCGACTTTTGAACGCGACTTCTCTGCATATTGACCCTCGGGGTCAAATAAATTCGAGTACAAAAAGAAGTAGGCGGGGGCGTGGCAAGTTCATCTTGGCTGCCGAAATTGAAAATACTTAAAAAGTATCGGCATCAGAATGTCCTTTGGCCTTTTTTGTCTTGGCCAGCGGGGCATATTGGCTTAAATGCTCTTTCGATTTAAAATTTAACAACGTTTTTAAAGAACATGGAATATTTGAGGTTCAATAATTGTCGAAAATACAGAAGAGCATTATACACCATTAAAGTATCTAGTATTTTTATATCCGTTACTCGTATAGTAATTGTGTTTATTGTATTTGTAAATTTTATTTATTGATTTTAAGTTTAAATTAAATTGTATTTTATTTAGTGACATCACGGATCGTTCAAAAACATTCGGTCGGGTATTTTATGTCGATTATTTCTGACTATAACTTTTTCACATTCTGGCACTGCCTTCGCAGTCTCATTACGATTCTAAATATCGTAAGGACAGGTTTGTTCCTTTTTGTGTTGAAATTTTATTTGACCTTTTGGTTGGGGCCCAGGCCTTTAATTTATTATTGTTTTCTTAACCGCGTTCACCTTCTGCTCGGGCGCCCCACACCATGGCCCGCAGGATTTTTCCTTTGGTATTTTCGGCGGTTTTGGTTTGTTTTTCCTCGGCTTTTGTTTTGTTTTCTCGCCTGACAGGCGTAACAGAAATGTTAAATTGCGAAAAAATAAATCTTGAAATTGACTTTGTGCAGGGTTCGTTTTGTTTTGGTCCCAACCGCCTTTTTATATACATATATATTTTTCGGTTTTTGTTTTATTTATTTTGTTCTTTTTCAAAACTGTCGCCTTTTTGAGTTGTTGCTGACAGCGTGAAAATCGAGATAAATGTGTTTTCACTTTCCCACTCCGCTTGCCATCGCTTGTTGGCGGTTAAAAGAACAGTTTACTTCGTTCGCAAGAGGAAGGGAGACCCAAAAAGGTAAAGGTGAAGAAATTGTATTTAAAGATTGGCATCAGTGAGGGTTTCTGGGGGAAAATGTCGCTCAATTCATAAACATGAAAGCGCAGAGACAACATTATCTGGTAAATACTTCCTGCTCGCTGAAAAATGCAAACCTTTTTATTCATTAAAAGTAAATATTGGAAAATATTAATATTAGGAGAAAAATATTTTGTATTGGGTTTTTTGCCATATATACTTGTTGAGAATAAAACATTTGCCAACGAACAAAAATTATTGTTTCCTTGTCATCATTTCTGAGTACTTCATAAACTCTTGGATAAATATTGCGAAAAATGAAAAAGTAAAGAGCAAAATTGTCTCTTACAGTAACGATAAGGACCAAACTTTATTTAAGCACATTATTTCCAATACGAAATACCATATGATTTATTTTTACGAATTTAATACCATAACACACAAAGTTAATTTGTTTTAAGATTTCCTCAATTTACTCTGCAGCTTTATTTTGTTTCACGAATGACAAACATACTGAATTCAAGTGAGTGTTTTCCATGTCGCCAATTTTCATGGAATGAAAGCGCCCCAAAAACTGCACACACTGCAGGCATTGCATAATGCAACGAATGAAACTGCAGCCGTTACTGAATTTGAATCAGAATCTGGATCGAAATTCGGTGCTGCCATAGAGTCGCAATCAAATTTGGTGCATCGGCTGGCCGGGGGGAAATATAGTATCCGGAAGAGGGATTGTCTAGTTATTTTACAGCCGCAGCCAATTCACTTTTGCCATGTGACAGCCGAAGCAATGGAATTGCAAATTTCACCTCCCAGCTGCCTTTTTCCAATGAAGCCAGCTAATCCGGAGCTCAGGTAGGAGTTGAACGACATTTCAGGTGAAACTAATATTGAAACGGAATGATCGAGATTTTAACTTATTGGAAAATCCAAGGAATTCACTAAATAGAAAAACCTAGATTTGACCTCAGTATGATTTGCATGGTCTCACAGAAGAAAACTCACAAGCTGGTAACACTAAAAAATAAGTTGTTTTTAATATAAATTATTAGTGAATATTACAACAAAATGCAGGTATCGCGTACCTCGATTCCCTAGCGATGCGGCGACTACTAACCGATAATTGTGCTCTTGCTGATATTTCCCGCGTACGAAGAAGCACGAGCAGCGCAGTTGCAAAAGTTAATAAGGGGAAAATGTAGGAAAACTAGAGAAAAATACAATGGAAAGCGCGGGGTAGCCCCTAAGTATGCAACAATATAATATGCTCGTGCATGTGTCAGTGACAGCGAAAAGGACAGAGATAAATAAACGCGATATGGCCACAAAACCATTGGATTGCTCATTTCAGATTTTATTCTCCCTCTTCCCCTATTTCTATAAATTCTTTTTTTATTTTATTCGCTTGCCATTTTCTTGTCAGCGTAATAAGCGCAATTAGCAAGGGGAAAAGTAGTGGATGAAAATGGCAGAAGGAAAGCCACTTGAGCATGCAATGAGAAAGCAAATTAAAAGCCAAGTGCAAGTCAAGTGTACAAAGGAATATAATATACATAAGTCTTGAGAATCCAGTCAATGTATAATTAATGGGGAATTAAGGGAAAGCAAAGAGCTTGCATGATAAGAAATATTATCATAGTTTAATTAATTTGTTTGATTAGCGACCTCGTTCACCCAACAACAAACCGCACATGTCAACGTGGCAACCTTCATTCTATTTTGAAAGCTTTGACAACCCTGCTGTCATTTCCCCGCAATTTTCCTTTGTTGCAACGAGACCTTCAAGATTGCCTCCTCGTCGTCCTATAATTGCTCCTGTTAACCGCCGCCAATTAAATTGCATGGAAAGCGGAAAGGGGGGGCAGCAAAGCCAATGCCAAAATAATTGTGCATAATTCCGTTTTGCATTTTACATGCAACAGCCGCCATGTGCATACGGTTTATTTGACCACGTATCTAGCGTTGAGGTAAATATATTAAAATAATATAGGGCCATATTGCATGGCCACCATCATTAGCATATTAAATCAGCGATCATTTAACTGGCTCCAATGTTTAAAGGGGGAGCTATTCTTCACTGCACAGGGACTTCAACTACGAAGTTCTCATACTTAAAGATATATTATATGAATAAATTATATCATAAAATCACTTTCTATAAATTAAAATTCATAGCAAATTAGTGATATTAATTATATTATGGCCCGCACTTCTTAATAATATTTTGAAAGGGCATTCAAGGTTCGTGTTCCACTTTTCTGCTGTCACTTTCCCTGGCCGTAAGTTTCGATTGCGACATTTTGCGCAATTTTCTGCCCTTTGTTTGCTGTTAATTAGACCACACAACCTGTCAATCTCCCAGCAAGCCAGCGAACCACCTGATGACCCCTAGAGTGGTGCAGCTTAGCATGCATACCTTGCCCTACTTGCGGTTAAATAGCTTGTGGTTGAATTGCATTGAATGCAGTTCGCAGTTTGTCCTTTCTTTTTGGGCACTTATATATCTG